ACATCATTGGTTAACAAATGCTAGATTAACCAAGTACCAAAGCTGGCTATGTGAAAATCCCCACATAACCACTGAAGTTTGCAACACCCTAAACCCCACCACCTTGCTCCTGGTATCAGAGAGCCCAGTTGAACATAACTGTGTAGAGGTGTTGGACACAGTTTATTCTAGTGGGCCCAACCTCCGAGACCATCCTTAAACATCAGTAGACTGTGAGCAGTACGTGGATGGGAGCAGCTTCGCCATCCCCTGCAAAATGACTCGGACGAAGACGACAAGCCCTGCTCCAGTCACACCCGGAAGCTGACTGGTCCATGCATGGCCGAAGCATGAGGAAACTCATCACGGGACTCATTTTCCTTAAAATTTGGACTTATACAGTAAGGACTTCAACTGACCTTCCTCAGACTGAGGGCTGTTTCCAGTGTATACATCAAGTCACTGAGGTAGGACAAAAGGTTGCTATGGTCCTATTATTTTATGGTCATTAGAAGTGTACTGGAACCTTAAAAAGAACTTGTTTGTATAATGTTATTCTATACAAGATATGTAGCCCAGGAAATGACCAACCTGATGTGTGTTTTGCCTCATCTGAGCCTCCCATGACCACAGTTTTTAAAATAAGATTAAGAACTGAAGACTGGTAGGGACTCATAAATGATATCAGTAAAGTGTTAGCCAAAACAGAAAAAAAAAAGGGTGCCCAAACAAGTCACCTTGAAATTTGATGCCTGTGCCGTCATTAATAGCAATAAGTTAGGAAGGGGATGTGGCTCTTTTAGTTGGGAAAAAGGCTATATGACCAAAAATAAGTATATTTGTCATGAATTAGGACTGTATGGAAATGAATGTGGCTACTGGTCTTGTGTCATTTGGGTCACTTGGATAAAAAAATGAAGAGGATCCAGTCCACCTTCAGAAAGGAAAAAATGGCCCTTCCTGTACTAAGGGACAGTGTAACCCCTTAGAGCTAGTAATAACCAATCCCCTGGATCCTCTCTGGAAAAAAGGGGAGCGTGTGACCTTAGGAATTGATGGGGCCAGACTGGATCCTCGAGTAAATATCTTGGTTCAAGGAGAAGTTTACAGACGCTCTCCTGAACCAGTGTTTCAAACTTTCTATGATGAGCTAAATATACCAGTACCAGAAATTCCAGGAAAAACAAGAAATTTGTTTTTGCGATTAGCTGAGCATGTAGCCCAGTCTCTCAATGTCACTTCATATTATGTATGTGGAGGAACTGTAATGGGAGATCAATGGCCATGGGAATTCTGAGAATTAGTACCTACAGACCCAGTTCCTGATGAATTCCCAGCTCAAAATAATCACCTTGATAATTTCTGGGTCCTAAAAGCCTCAATTATTGGACAATATTGCATAGCTAGAGAAGGAAAAGAATTCACTCACCCTGTAGGACGACTTAGTTGTCTGGGACAGAAACTGTATATTGGTACCACAAAAACAGTCACTTGGTGGAGTTCAGATCAAACAGAGAGGAATCCATTCAGCAAATTCCAAAAGTTGCAAACCGTGTGGACCCACCCGGAGTCCCACCGGGACTGGACAGCCCCCACTGGATTATATTGGATATGTGGGCATAGAGTTTATGCCAGATTACCTGACTAGTGGGCACGTAGTTGTGTTATTGGCACTATTAAACCGTCTTTCTTCCTACTGCCCATAAAAACAGGCGAACTCCTGGGCTTCCCTGTCTGTGCTTCCCGTGAAAAGGGAAGGATAGTTATAGGAAATTGGAAAGATGATGAATGGCCCCCTCAGAGAATCATACAATATTATGGGCCTACTACTTGGGCACAAGACAGCTTGTGGGGATACCGGACCCCCATTTACATGATCAAACGAATCATACGGTTACAAGCTGTCTTAGAAATAATCACTAATAAAACCAGCAGAGGCTTGACTATTCTGGCCTGGCAAGAAACTCTGATGAGAAATGCTATCTGTCAAAATAGATTGACTCTCGACTACTTGCTAGCAGCTAAAGGAGGGATCTGTGGGAAATTTAACCTTACTAATTGCTGTTTACAAATAGATGATCAAGGGCAAGTAGTTGAAGACCTAGAAACATGACAAAACTGGCACATGTGCCCATGCAAGTGTGGCATGGATTTGATCCTGGGGCCATGTTTGGAAAATGGTTCCCAGCGCTAGGAGGATTTAAAACTCTTATAATAAGAGTTATAATAATAATAGGAACCTGCCTACTGCTCCCTTGTTTGATACCTGTACTTCTTCAAATGATAAAAAGCTTCATCACTACCTTAGTTCACCAAAATGCTTCAGCACAAGTGTGCTATATGAATCACTATCAGTCTGTCTTGCAAGAAGACATGGGTAGTGAAAATGAAAGTGAGAACTCCCACTAATAAAATGAGAGTCTCAAAAGGGGGAATAAGGGAGGAGACCACCCATCATATCGTCTTATGCCCAATTTCCACCTCCAAAGAAAGAAGAAGTAAAAACTAAAAGGGAGAAATGAAATCCACAGGCAGACAGCCCAGCGCCACACCCTGGGCCTGGTAGTTAAAGATCGACCCCTGACCTAATTGGTTATGTTATCTTACAGACATTGTATAGAAATGCACTGTGAAAATCCCTGTCCTGTTTTGTTCCAGTCTAACTACCGGTAAATGCAGCCCCCAGTCATGTACCCCCTGCTTGCTCAATCAATCACAACCCTCTCACACGCACCCCCTTAGAGTTGTGAGCCCTTAAAAGGAACAGGAATTGCTCACTCGGGGAGCTCGGCTCTTGAAACAGGCGTCTTGCCGATGCCCCCGGCCGAATAAACCCCTTCCTTCTTTAACTTGGTGTCTGAGGATTTTTGTCTGCCACTCGTCCTGCTACAGTACCACTGCACTCCAACTTGGCCAACAAAGAGCGAAACTCCGTCTCAAAAAAAAAAAAAAAATCCAACTTCACTGGGCATTAAGAAAATGTGAATCAAAACAGTGAGATGCCACTTCACACTCAGCAGACAGCTATCATAAAAAAATTAGAAAATAACAAGTATTGGTGAGATGTGGTAGAAATGGTAACCAAAAGGTATAAACAACCCAGACATGCACATGCATTAACAGTTGAATGAATAAACGAGTTGTGTTATACACATATAAAGAAATAATACCCAGCCATAAAAAGGACTGAAGTACTGATACATGCTACAACATGGAGGCACCTTGAAAACATCATGTTAAATAAAGGAACCACAAACGAAAAGTTAACACATTGTGTGATTCCTTTCATATTCAGAATAAGCAATCCCATAGAGACAGAAAGCAAATTAGTGGTTGCCAGGGAACTGGGGAGGGGGAGATAGGAAGAGATTATTTAAAGGGTATAGGGAGGTGGTGGTTGTATGACATTGTATATGCAGTAAATGCCAGTGAATTGTATACTTTAAAATGATTAATTATATAAATTTCACTTTGAAAAAAACTACATAAACCTGATTAGATTTTTAAAACTTGTATGAGCATACAGTTTTAAGTGCTTAAGTATTTCTTCTGAGTGGAGTTGGTCAACCTAAATAACAAGCAGAGAGAGGTTCCCTAGAAGAAAATGATGGTTCTTTGGCAACAGCATTGCAGTGGGAATGTGCTTGCCATGGTAAACTATGTATATATTCAAGGATGTAAAGGAAGGCAAAGATTTTTAAAGGGAAAAGGAGGGTTATGTAATTGTTTTGAAATGATTATCCTTGGCTACAGAGATCAATAACAAGAGTGATGCCAGTCCAAGGTTGGACAGGCAGTTGCTGGGCAGATGTCCTTGCGAAAGTATTTTTTGTGTAAGATTGCAGTGCCTCTGAGCAAGCAAGGCTGTGGTTTTTGCAGAGTCTTTTGTAATAGTTTTTGTCTAGGTATACAAGTGTGAGAACCCTCTTAGCCTTTCCAGCTGTATATGTCAGATTTTTTAATACACTAGTGACTTCATTTTGACTCTAACAACTTTCACAAATTATTACAATTGTTGTTGCATAATAGTTTACAGATTTTGTTCAATATTAAACATTAAAAATGAAATTTATTGGAAATACATCTTCTAATGGTATGGACTTTTAAAAAATGCCATTTAGTCTGTATGTCCATGGATGACTGCTACATGAATGAATGCTACAAGGGTTCAGCATAAATTCTGTTCCTGTTTTATGATTTATTAGACTCAAGTGCTGAGAAACCTTGTTGATGTAATAAAAGGGTAATGGAAGGAGTTTAGTTATAGCAGTGTCACTCATTTTTTTGAACTTCTGAGTCATGTACTAAAAAGCACATAGTAATTTAGCATAAAATTGACTTTTAATGATTGACTCACACAACTCAGGTTTTCCTACAGGGTTTTTGAAACGTGAAGAATTGGAAAACAGTTCACTTGCATAACAATTTGGTAATCATTAGAGTAATTTACTACTTCCTCAACACCTCCATCAGCATTTCCAGTCCACCCTCTGTTTAGTGCTTCAGAAATGTTTGCCCGTCAGGGAACTACCATGGTAATAAGAGACATAGGTTAGGGGAATGCTTTTCTTTTGTAAAATGGAAAAGCATTATTGTTAAAGGGAAAAAGGGAAAGATGAGTTCTCATGACACAGGCAGAATAGTTTTTGAAATGATTACCTGTGAAAGATGAAAATTTTCTGATGCTCTTAAAGCTAACTGTGCACTTGGACCTCTTCAAATCTTTGTGTACCTAGAGAGTACCATACTCTTTCTGAGGTTTTATATAAAGTGCTGCTTACAGCCTGCCTTCAGCTACAAATCTTTGAATAAGGTGAAACTCCTGTGCACTGTGAATAAAAAAGAGGTGAAATTTTAAAAAAAGTAAAATTTGACTCTAAAGCTCTGTCTTTGAAAATGGCTTTTTTTTTTTTTTTAATTTTGTATCTGGAATAAATGTAGAGTTAATACAAAATTGTCAAATTAGATTGAGTTAGGAGTTTCAGCTTTTCTTCTCATTCCTTTTCTAAAAATTTTCCCAGGTCAATGAGTGGTCATTGAAGATAAGAAAGGAAATGAGAGTTGTGGACAGGCAAATAAGGGGTAAGTTATCATTTTATGTCTTCTATTTTTCACCTTCTTGGTATATTTTGCTTCAGTTCATAAAAATAAACTGCATTTATATATCATAAGACATAGTTTATTCCTATATCAGTTACTTATAGCTGTCTGACTTATTTTGCTTTTTAATTCTGTAATCAGTATTTTTAAAAAAGATCATGAGTTAGAAGAAACTATATTTTGGAAGAGCAAAAGAAACCTCTTGCTACTTATAAAGAATTGTCTTTTATGGAATTCAAATTAAATAAATTATACATAAGTAAGGGATACAATTCCATTGTCACTGCTCTGTTTATCTTAGCATGACTGTAAATTGAGGACAGTATGTTTATAAATAAAGTTGATTTTTTTTTTGTTTAGTACCATTTAAGGTGATTTACAAAGGGATGGTAATATTTAAAACTTTTAAGGTTTTTAACACTCATGATTGGAGAAGAGTTAATATCATAAAGGTATCCCAGTATCACTTTCTTTAAAAAGAATTGGAGAGGGAAATTCCATTCCCAGCCATGAAGGAGTAATTGCTTTTCAACTTGCATTCTCATTGTAAATAAAATTTTGGACAAAGCAAGAGAGAAAAAATACTGGACAAAAATCTGTGAAACAGCTGTTTTCAAACATTGGACAGCTGGCAGTACAGGGTTGTGATCACTGAGAGAATAGAAACAAAGACAGAGAGCCTTAATATGACCCTGTCATTCTGCTTGGAGATACTTTCTGGATTATAGCCCATGGAAAGACATTCCAAGCAGAGCATAGTGGTTTCACTGGGTTGAGAATAGAGATAAGGGTTCAGAGAGTGGCTGGAATTTGTGGGGCAGAGTATCAGAGAGAAGGGAAATACTCAGAGAAAGAACTTCAAATGTCTCCATAGGATCCATTGGAGTCTTTGACTGAATACTAAGCTGTGCATGCTTAGAGTGAAATTCTGAGAGGCTGGGCAAATAACAATTACTAGGAACAGAACTACCAGGAAGCTGTAAGGTGAATAATTCCTAGAGCTAATAAAGGATTGAGAAATGGTTGAGTTCTGATCAGACACAGAAAAGAGACTTTGTTGAACCTCTGGGATGTTCAGTAGAGACCTCAGAAGAGTCACACCTTAATAATAAGGATCAGGTAGGTAGTCCTAGAAAAAAGGCTACCACAAGCCCATACCAACTAACCAACAAGACTTAAAAGACTTGAAGGCTGATTTGCAGGTAATTTGACTGCCTGCCAAAGTAAAGATTAACACTCTTTAAGGGAAGACTACAAAATTCAGACACCCAACAATGAAACATACACAGTGGCCAGCTTCCAATGAGATACTATTATGAAGAAGCAGGAAAATGCGACCCCAAATCAGGAAAAAAGCCAGGTAATAGAAATAGATTAAAAAAAAAAAAAAAAACCAAAAATCCAAAACCCCCACGAAAAAAACAGATGATTGAATTCACAGTCAAGGATTTTTAAGCAGCTATTATAAATATGTTGAGATTAAAGGATAATGTATACATAATGAGGAGATAAATACAAAATACAGAAAATAACAAAATGGAATTTCTAGAGGTGAAAGATCTGAAATGAAGTGAAATTAAATGAAGACTCACTAAATGGGTTTAACAGCAGAATAGACACTACAGAAAATGAGATAAGTGAAATTGAAGATATACAAAATCTAAAATGTTCAAATGAGCATTTCCTTTGAGTGTCCTATCAGCAGCCCAAATATTTCAGATTTTGGATTTTGGATTTTCTGATTAGGGATATACAACTGGTATGATGCAAACCTTCTGAAATCTAAAGCCTGAAAGACATTTGGTTTCTAAGCATTTTGGATAAGGGATATTCAACCTGTAATACAAATTATCCAAACTGTAGTGCAGACAGAAAAAAGAAAAAACAACAACACAGAGCTTTTAATATCAAGTGAGCTAATGTGTGTAATTTGAGTCTCAGGAGGAGAGGGGTCAGGAAGAGATCATATGAAATAGTAACTGAATGTTTTTCAAACATGATGAAAGCTGTTAAGCTTGCAGATCCAAGGAACTCATCTCCAAATCGAATAAACACAAAACCATACAAAGGCAAAGCATAATCAAATTACTGAAAACCAAAAAGATAACCCCCCAAAAAAGACAAATTTAGGTCCAATAAACAGTGATAAGAATGATTTTTAAATTCTTATCAGAAACAATGCAAACTAGAATATCTTTCATATGGTGAGAAAAACCCCACAAAACAACCCCATGTTATCCTAGATTTAAGTCCAATGAAAATAACATTCATAGGTGAAGGTGAAATAAAGATAATTTCAAACAAAAGCCAGAAAGAATATGTTGCCGATAAAATAAATGTTAAAAGAGGTTGTAGGCTGAAGAAAAATCATACCAGATACAAACTTGGATTTATATGAAGGAATAAAGTATGCTGGAAATGGTAAATATATAAGTAAATATAAATTATTTTTTCCTCTTAAGAATGTGTTTAACTTACTGACTCTTGAAAGTAAAAATAATAATGTATTGTGGGGCTTGTAACATGTAGAGGTAAAATGTATGACAATTATAATAATTGATTTGTGCCAAAAATAAATGTTAGAAACCTCATAAGTTTCATTAGTGTCTCACAGCCTTGCATATTCCTTTTTTGTGCTATGCTCACTGTATTTCTTCTCACATCCATAGCTCATTTTGCCTTTTAAATGACGATCTTCAAGCCCAATATCTTTCATGTATGTTTCCTATTATTTGTCATTAATAGTAATTTATTAATTTACTAACTCTAACATGATATCAGAAAAAGATCATGGATTTTGGAGTCTTAACATTACCAGGTTTAAACTCTGATATCACCTGTCCTTATATAAACTTCTTTGAATCTCTTAGAATTGTTGTGACAGTTAAATCTGTGAATATATGTAAAATGTTTAGGGCAGTACCTGGCATACAGTAGAGACTTCACTACTTGATGGTGATACCAAAAAGGGGGATGGGGCACTTTGATAAAGTGTGACTATGAAGTAATGTGATTGCTTTAAATGTTACTTGTGAAAGCATATGAAGGTTTATCGTAGCAGTTGGTTTTTCATTTGGTTTTATACTAGCAGTCAAGGTGAATGGATTTAAAAAGAAATACTAGTATAAAAATGAGCAACTGCAAAACAAATTTATGTTCTCAGAAGTCAAGCTATTGGCTATGCTTATTGGGGGCAAATGGTGGATTAAAGGTGACATAAGGGGGCCTTGTGGCATGTTGGTGATACTCTGTTTCTTGATCTAGGTCCTGGTTACATGAGCATGTTTAATTTGTGAAAATGTATATAGCTGTACAGTTATGTTTACTTTTCTGTATATATGTTATACTTAAATAACAAGTTAAGTAACTTAAAGCAAAATGTAACTATAGGGTGTTCTCAGCTTCTCATGGAAGATTTATGGTAGTCCACATGTTTAGCTTTCAGTCAAATGTAACACATTTTGAACACTCATTATAGGCAATAATTGGAATGAATTTAGGTAATTCATTTCATCTGCTCCTTAAATGAAAATAGTCAGCTTGGGTGAGTACTCATGACTATAAAGGTGAAATATACACATGTGAAAATTCAGAAAAGTAGAAAGAAGAAAGTTAAAATCGCCCTGAAGTTTGACCACTTAGAGATAACCACCACAAATACTTTTTATGATCATCCTTTTCCAGATATATTTCTCTCTGTTTTTGTATTTATACCCAAATGTTTATTTATAAGTGAGTCATACTAGTCTTGCTGCTGATTTTTATTTATTTTTATTGTAAAATTTACATAAAATAAAGCTGACCATTTTAACCATTTTTAAGTGTACAGTTCAGTGGCAGTAAGTGCATTCATAATGTTGTGCAACCATCACCACTATCCATCTCCAGATCCTTTTCCTCATCCATACTGAAACTCTGTACCTATTAAACAATAACTTCCTATTTCTCCCTACCCCCAGCCCCTAGTAACCACTATTCTACCTTCTGTATCTAAGTATTTGACTATTCTAAGTACCTCATATAGGTAGAATCAAATAATATTTGTCTTTGTGTCTGGCTTATTTCACTTACTGTAATGTTTTTAAGGATCATCCATGTTGTAGCAGGTATCAGAATTTCATTGCTTTTTAAGGCTAATATTCTGTTGCCTGTATATACCATATTTTATTTATACACTCATCTGCTGATGGACATTTAGATTGTTTCTACCTTTTGGCTATTGTGAATAATGCTGCTATGAAGATGGATGTACAGATACCTGTTTTGCTTCCAATTCTTTTCAGTACTTTTGCATACATAAATGAAATCATTACTGGATCAAATAATAATAGTATTTTTAATTTTAGGGGGAACCATTTACTGTTTTCCATGGCAGCTGTGCCATTTTACATTTCTGTCATCAAGAGCTAGGCTACTCAAAAGTAGCTGTATATATGAGGGAATATAGAAGTCACTGTGCATGCCCAGGGAATGGTACAGGCTCATAAAATAGCTCAGAAGACCTTGAGTTTGTACCTTGTGCTGATCTTTACCACAGAAATCCTATGCCAATTTTAAAAAACAAAAAAGAAAACAAAACCAAACCTGACGAGCCCTGGGGAAGAGGCCGCATCTGATCTCCAGAGTTATCACTTTAGAAGATTCAAACATTCAGTAAAATCATAAGGCATACAAAGAAACAGGAAAATATGGCCTCCTCAAAGCAGGGAAAAGTAAGTCACTAGAAACTGTTGCTGAGAAAGACTAGATGGTAGATTTGCTAAACAAACACTTAAAGCAAGTATCTTACAGATGTGCAAAGAACTAAAGGAAGAGGTGGATTAAGTTAAAAAAAAAACAGTGGAATAAAATGGAAATATCAATGGAAAGATAGAAAACAAGAAAAGAAACACCAAAATTCTGGAGCTGAAAAGTGTAATAACTGAAGTGAAAACCTTACTTGAATGATTCAAAAGCATATTTGAGCAGGTAAAATAAAGAAT